GGATTTGCATTTTCATTCTTCCATAAATACCCAGGAGTGAAACTGCTGAGTCATAAGGCAAGTAGTATGAAAAGTTGTATAAGAAACTGTCAGAACATTTCTCAAAATGATTTTTAAAGACTTTTTTTTTTTTTTTGAGATAGAGTCTCCCTCTGTCTGGCCCACGCTGGAGTGCAGTGGTGTGAATCTTGACTCACCGCAGTTTCCGCCTCCCGGATTCAAGTGATTCTCCTGGGTCAGCCTCCCGAGTAGCTGGGACTACAGGAGTCTTCCACCACACATGGCTAATTTTGTATTTTCAGTAGAGATGGGGTTTCACCATGTTGGCCAGGCAGGTCTCAAACTCCTGACCTCAGGTGATCCACCCACCTTGGCCTCCCAAAGTGCTGGGATTACAGGCGTGAGCCACCGTGCCCAGTCAAGATTAATTTTTTTAGAGCAGTTTTAGGTTCACAGCAAAATTGAGAGGAAGGTATAGAAATTTCCCATATATCCCCTGCCCCTCACATGCAGAGCACCCCATACCATCAACATCCCCTACCAGAGTGGTCCATTTGTTAACAACCAACGAACCTATACTGAGACATCATTATCACTCAGTCCATAGTTTAGCTCAGAGTTCATTCTTGGTGTTGTACATTCTATGGGTTTGGACAAATGTATAATGGCATGTGTCCACCATTATAGTATCATATGGCACATTTTCTCCACCCCCAAACTACTCTGTGCTCTGCCCATTCCTCCCTTCCCACTTCTCTGATCTTTTTACTGCCTCCATAAGTCTAAACTGATTTGACGTTTAACACTACCACCAACAATATATGAGAATTTCAGTTGCTCTGCGTGTTTTCCTCTGCAAGCTTTATAGTTTTAAGTTTCATGTTTAGGGTTTTTTGTTTTTGTTTTAAAGATGGGATCTTGCTCTGTTGCCCTGGCTGGAGTGCAGTAACACTACTATAGCTCACTGCAGTCTCCAACACCTAGGTTCAAGCAATCTTCCCATTAACAGCCTTCTGAGTAGCTGGGATTGCAGGTATGAGCCACTGTACCCAGCTATGCTTAGGTTTTAAAAAATATATATTTCAGGTCAATTTTTGTGTATGATGTGAAATGGGTAAAAGTTTATTTTTCCATATGGATATCCAGTTGTCCCAGTTCCATTTGTTGACAAGACTTACCTTTCCCCATTGGATTACTTTGGTGGTCTTATTTAAAATTAAGTATTTGAGCTCTCTATTTTGTTCCATTGATACATTGTTGCCCTTATAGTCCTTACAAGTTTTATAGAGTCCTTATAGCAATACCATAATCTTAATTACTTGAGGTTAGTTAGGAAAGCCTTCCAAATTTATCTTCTGGACTGCTTTGCCTATTCTAAGTCATTTGCATTTCCAAATAACTTTTGAATTAGTTGATATATTGCTACCAAATAATCTTTGTGGGATTAAAACTGAGATTAAGTTAAATGCATAGATGAGTTTGGGGAGAATTGATATTTTAATATTTTTGTGTCTTTCAATCCATGAACATCTTATATATTTCCATTTATTTAGGTCTTCCTCAATTTCATTCAGAAATGTTTCGTAGTTTTCAGTATAGATATCTCACATAACTTTTGTTAAATTTATTCCTATGATTATATGTATTTTAATCCTTTTGTAAGTCAACTTGTTTTTTAGACTTTATTTTCCAGTTGCTTCATACCAGTATA